GGAGGGAGGGAGGAAGAGAGGGAGGGGAAAAGGAAGGGAGAGGAAGAAAGGAAGGAAAGGAGAAAAGGGGAGGAAAGACTGGAGGGAAGGAGGGAGGAAGGAAGGATGGAGGATTGGAAGAAGGAAGGCTGATCTTCTACAAAGGCCTTATCCAATTAGATGCAACGAAGGACCACAAATAAAGTCAACCTTCTAGGGACTCCCTTGAAATTCGGTAGCTCCCTCCCTTTGGTAGCTCCTCCTCCTCCTCCTCCTCACCTTGATAAGGACAAAGACCAGCACGGGAACGAAATCGTCCGCTCCGGGGACCGAGTCCTCATTGGCCAAGCTCAGCAGGTTCATGATGGTGGAGCACATCCTCAGGACGCACTGCAGCTTGTCTCGGGGGGTCTTGTAGGCACTGATGGTGCAGATCTCGGCTTGGGCCGATGGCCAGGGGGCTTCCCGCAGGTAGACCTGGGAAGGAAGGAGGGGGGGTTGCTCTTGAGGGGCCTCATCCAAGCCAGGGGAGAAGCTCCCTTCTTCTGCTTTGGAGCCCCCGGGTCTGAAGGAGCCCCCCAGGTTCTCCCAGAGAAGCATCAAGCCCCATGGATCCACCTCCGTGGTCATATCTTCTCCCTCACTAGCAGTAGCAATAGCCCGTAGACTTGTATATCACTTCCCAGTGCTTCCCAGTGCTTCCCAGTGGTTTAGAGAGTCGGCCTCTTGCCCCCCGAGAATTGGAGTCCTCATTTGACCGACCTTGGAAGGATGGAAGGCAGAGTCCTGGCAGTCGGCAGAATCAGCCTGCAATGCTGCGTTCTAACCACTGTGACCCCATGGCCCTTCCTTCCTGCCTGCCTGCCTGCCTGCCTGCCTGCCTGCCTACCTTCTCTCTGTCCTTCTTTCCTGCCTTCCTTCCGTCCTTCCTAATTAATTCACGAGCCTTGAGCCAAGTTTCAAAAGAAATCCAATTATTTATTAGGAGCAACACGCCTGCACTTTCCCAGGTGCCGTCGGCTCTGGTAACCTGGGACACAATCTGGAGAAAGGCATGTGCGGAATGTGCTTCTGCTCAGAGCAACCGAGCTTCTCCGTCAGATCTCCCCCCCCCCCGCCTTCCTGCCTATGGCAACTCAAAAGCAGGCCAGGAACGCTTTACGAGTTGACACTGCCAGCCTTCCCCTCTTTTGGGCTCCATTTTTTTTTTCCTTTGCACAATTTTTAAGCGCGCAATCACACTTCCCGTTGTAGCATCCTGGACTTTGCAATCGGAAGGAAGGGATCCAAGCTGAGAACTCGGGAGATGGGAGATTACCTCTGGGATCTGAAGGGCTTTATGGTTTGCCGTCACCACTTTGGACAATCTCTGGATATGGTCATGGAGGAGCCTGTCAATAAACGGAAGGATGAGAGGCGTCAGCATTTCTCTCCGTTAGCCCCGACTCAGCTCAGAGAGCACTAAGGACCCCTCATTTTAACACCCGAGCTGCCAATATCCTCCTCGGCTGAAATTGGGGGCGATGGGTCCCCCAGAAAGGCCTTTTCCCCCTCTGCAGGGACGAAGAGCCGCCCCCCAGGGCCACAAGGAGACTCACTGATCCCGCAGGATGTCCCCATCCTGGTTGGGGTAGAAGGCCAGTTTGAAGATGCGGTTCATGACGCTGCGTTCGATCACCAGCTGGGCGTCCTGCAGCTGTTCCTCGCTGGCGTTCTGCCAGATGACGTCCTGGGCCATCGCCCCATAGAGGAACTGCAGGAAGTCTTCCACCTGGGCCGTTTTGTCGTCCGCCGCGGTCAGCTTCTGGAAATCTGCGGGCAAGGAAGCCGAGAAGGGTTAGCGCTAGCAGCAGCCCTCAGACCAGGGCTCCCCAAACGTGGCCACTTTTTAAGACTTGTGGATTTCAACTCCCACCTACGCTGGCTGGGGCAATTCTGCGAATTGAAGCCCACCCATCTCAAAGCCTGCTAGCTGAGGAATTCTGGGAGTTGGGACTTCTATGCTGCTTCGCAGGGCTTTGACAGCCCTCCCAAAGGGGTCTAGAGAGTCGGTCTCTCGCCCCCGCAACAATCTGGGTCCTCATTTGAGCGACCCCGTATCCCGTGGGGTCATGGCATCCTCTTTTGTGGCCTTCTGTGACGAGCAAACTCCATGGTGGTGGGGAGAGAGCCACGTTTGGAAGCCACATTAGCGCCAGAAGCTTCCACGCCACAACATTCCTGTGCCTGGGAAATTGGGAGGAGGGGACTTTGTAGAGCATAATAGCCGGAGAACTGGGCTGGGAAGCAGGTTAGTGGGGTGGGGGGGGAGGGAATGGGGATTTTGCAGTATATCCTTCCCCTGCCACGCCCACCCAGCCACACCCCTCCCACCAAGCCACGCCCACAGAAGCAGGAGTTTTTTTTAAAAAAAAAAAAACAACCCCCCTTGAATCCGAACCACTGCGCCTCACCCTGAATGAATTCCCTGATCTTGGACTCTTTGCTCTCCAGCAACAGACGGACGCAGACGGTGGTGAAATAGTGATTGGCCACCTCCTTGTCCCTCAGCACTCGCTGCAGCAGCCGTTCCAGGTGGGCTTGGGTGGTCTGGAGGCCCTGGCGACAGCGGGTCAGGTAGGTGAAGTAAGGGGCCCGTTTCCTACAAACAGACAAGGGCCCCCCCCTTGAGCAGATGGTCCCACCCTGGACCTTCAGGGATCGGTCGGCTCTGGTCTGAGGGGCAGGTTGACCGATGGGCCCCTGGCCCAAATCCCTTCCGGAAAAGGGGGCTTTTTCAACCTGTAATCCTCGGCGATGGAGGCCAGCAGTTTCCGGCAAGTCCGGTTGTCGAACCGGCTGACGCAACGCATGGTCTCTTGGAGCTGGGCCATCAGGTTCTTGTCCTGGAGGTTGATGGCTTCGGCCAGCTGGACTTTGAGGAAGCAGACGATTTCATTGTCTGGAAGGAAGGAAGGAGGGAGGGAGGGAGGAGGGAAGAAGGAAGAAAAGAGAGGGGAGGAGGTGAGAAGAGAAAGGGGGAGGAGGAAGAAGAGAGGAAAGGGAGGAAATGAAAGGAAAGGGGAGATGAAGGGAAGGAAAGGGAAGGGAAGGAAAAAGAAAGGAAGGAACGGAGAAGGAAAAAGAAAAATAAAGGGAAAGGAAAGGAAGGGGAGGAGAGGAGGGAAGGGAAGGAAAAGGAGAAGGAATGAATTAGGGAAAGATGAGGCATCCAAGAAGCATCTTGGGAAGGGCACCCCAAATGGAAAGGAGGAGGGGTGGGCGGATGAAAACCTTGCCGGGGGGGCAAGGGAGGGGGCTCCCTGTGGGGAGAGGGCCCCTCCAGGCCTCACCTTCAGGGTCTGTGTGGTCGGGAAGGCCGTTCCGCGTGGAATGGGACAACACCGGGAGGGCTACCGAGTCAGCGGAGCAGAGCGCCAGGCGCAGCTTCTTCTTGGCGTCCCTGTCGAGAGCAAAAGAGGTACTTCCCCTCCATCTTTCTTTCTTCCTCCCTCCCTCCTTACTAACTTCCCTTCCACCTCTTCTTCCTTCCTTCCTTCCTCCCTCCCTCCTTACTAACTTCCACCTCTTCCTCCCTCCCTGCCTCCTTTCCTTCATTTTTCCCTTCCTCCTTCCCTTCTACCTTTCCTCCTTCCAGATTTCCCTGCACACACACACACACCCACACAGAGCCCCTTTTCTATTAGTTTTCACTCATCCCAAAGTACGTAGTCCTGCCAAGTCCAGGCAAGGAATGGAACCGACCCCGTGAATCCAACGGGAAGGAGAAGAATCAGCTCAGCTGATTCTAGGCCCAGCCCTAACGGTGCCTCCTCGCCCCCCACAACTGCAAAAAAAAACCCCAGGGCCTTTTTCCCCCCCCCCCGCCCCCCCCAAATGCTCCCTCCCCGGGCTGTGCTTGAGCCAATCAAAGCACCTGTAGGAGAAAGTGGAGGAGTCCTGCGGCTGAGCTGCCTGGCTGGCCGAATCGGGAAGGTCGTCGGCCGAGATGTTTTGCAAGGCGTCGTGGAGGCTCTCGCTGTCTCCCATGGCTTCTGAGGGGGAGAGTTGAGAGGGCGGGATAAGCTGAGCGTGGCTCCGGCAGCCCCCCTTTACCCCACCCCCCACAAGGAAAGGGCGGACGGCGAGAGGGGGAGGGAGGGGGAGAGAGAGAGAGAGACTCACCGGTGCTGTCATAATTCACGACGGCTGCCTCGCAAGGGCTGGCGCGCTTGATGGCGTTCCTGTACTTGTCCAGAATATCTTCGGCCGCCTGGGCTTGAGTGCCCAGCCGAGGGCTGGAATCATCTGAAAGATTGGACCGAACCGGAAAACATTAGAACGTTTTTCGGTCCCCCTGGAATCGAGCCCCCTTCCTGTTCTCTTTGGCCCTCGAATGAATGAGCAGCTTAACCCAACGTGGGGAAAGGAGAGGGTGGCTGAAGATCTAACCATGCTACAGAATTATGCTCCCCCCCAAAATAATACTGGAGATGTAGGAGGAGGAGAGAGAGAGAGGGAGGAGTCAAGAGAGAAAGCAGCCTGGAATCGTTACGTTCCAGTCTGGATTCTTCACCCCTGACGTTAGTTGAGTTGAGTTGAGTTTGTCCTTGCACCTCGTACAGCAAAATCAAACACCATCTTCACTACACATCATGACCATGGAAATAAACACAAACACGCACATCCTTCACACTCCACACATTGAATTGAAAACCCCCCGACACCACACCGACACTGCACTACACAGCAGAGTAACGTGACGTGACTCAGGTCTTTTGCGACCGTTACAACTTAACGCCGTAATGGGCAGGCTTGTAATTAGAGGACTACTGGTGAAGTGACAGGAGGTTAGCAAGAACGGGCTACGAGAACCGCGGCGACCCCTACAAACCTTGAAGAGAGGGAAATCGGTCGGTCATGAAGTCGTCCTTCTCCTTGTCTTGCTTTTCTTTTTTTCTAAATGGAATTGGAGCTGGGAAGTAAGCAAGCCACGTTTTAATTGGTACCAGACCCCCTTTTTACAGGGAGGGAGGGAAGGAAGGGAAGAAATAAAAAGAGATAGATACAGATAGGAAGGAAGGAAAAAGATAGATAGGAAGGAAGGAAGGAAGGAAAAAGATATATAGATAGATAAGAAGGAAGGAGGGAAGGAAGGAAGGAAAAAGATAGATAGATAGATAGATAGGAAGGAGGGAGGGAGGGAGGGAGGGAAGGAAGGAAGGAAGAAAAAGAGATATAGATATATAGATAGGAAGGAAGGAGGAAGGGAAGGAAGGAAGGAAGTTTCTCTTTGTTGAAAACGGAAGATTTTTATTTATTTTTTAAAAAAAGGGTCATCCCAGCTGAACTATGCTTCACCTTTGGGCATGGCTGAAACGAAACGCTTCCTCCACCAGGGTTTGTTTCTGTCAGATTTCTCATCATCGCTGTCTTTCCGGTCTTCGATCTACGGGAGGAAATTAGGAAGTGAGCTGGATTACAACAGGGAGGAGGATCCATTTTCCTCTGGACGGTCGTGAAAGCAGAGGAAGGGATGAAACAGGTTAAATAGCCAAGAGATCCAGACATCGTGGCACAGAGTTGGAAAGCGGGCAAGCAAGCGGGAAGGGAGGGAGGGAAGAAGGAAGGGGAACAGGGAAGGAAAGAGAAAGGGGAAAGGAAAGGGAAAGAGAGAGAGAGAGAGAGAGAGAAAGAGAAAAACGAAAGGAAAGGGGGAAAGGATCATTTTACAGCCAGCATGACATTTTCTGGTTCTTTCCTGCTCTGTCCTTGCAAGCATTACTCCCTGATGCCGCCCCACTTCCAAATCCCGCCAGAAAGAAACGGCAGGAAGACTCAAGGGACAGGCAGCCCTACCTCTCCCCTGCAGGAATCTTTGCTCGGAGACGAGGACGAAGACTGCGGCCCGGCGATCGCCGCTCCCCCTCCGACGTTGCCCCCGGGCCCCGGAAGTTCCCGCTCCTCGTTTCCCGCTCGCCTGTTCCAGCCGGGATCGCTCATGGGCCTCCGTGCGGACGAGACGATGTCGGAGCTCCTGCTGCGCACCAGCCTTTCCGGGTAGGAGTAGCGCTGCTTGAAGGTCTCCGCGTCGAAGAGTAGGGCCATGTGGGAGGTGAAGTTGGGCAGGCGGGCGTCGCTCCCGCCCAGGCTGCCTTCCAAGATGGGGGGGTCCGGGGGCGGGTGAGACGGCCGGGCGTAGTGGACTTTGGGCCTGACCACTGCCGGGGAAACAGGCCACGGGTCACAAGGGAGCTCGGGGGGGTGGGGGAGAGGTGGAGGGGCAGCTCGTGAGGGCTTCCCGCCTGGGAGGGAGAGGTTACCTTCATGAGACACCAAGGGGTCGAACATGGCGAGAAGGGAGTCTGCTGGGCAGGGAGGGGAGGTCAAGTGGCTGGCGCCTGAAATGCGAAGAAACAAATGGGAGAAACCATTGGCAACTTTCTTCCAGAGCTGAGAGCCGGCCGGCGACCCAATGCATGGAGTTTAACAGAATCGGAGAACTGGGAAGGGACCCTGGAGGTCTTCTAGTCTAACCCCCTGCTCAGGCAGGAGACTATTGCCATTCCAGACAAGGGACTGTCTAGTCTCTTCTTGAAAACCTCCAGGGATGGGGAAGGCCAAGGGAAACCATCAAAACCAGAAAGGAAGTGAACGTTGGAATCTTTCGGACGTTGCGATGCGACACCGGGAGAAATACGGCCTCCCTCACTTGATCCTCCAAGGAAAGACTGAAGGCAAACAAAGGTCCAGGCAGAAGAAGGTCCAGGCAGAACACCAGGGCTTCCAAATCTCTAAGGGACTCATTGAGACAAGAGTCAACAGCACTTTTTTGCGCAGCTGCTGGTAAAAATAGGATCGCCAAAACATGATCGTCAACATCCGATGAAAGATATGGCAGAAGAAGTGGAAGTGGAAGTGGAAGGAGGAGGAGGAGAAGGAGAAGAGGAGGAGGAGGAGGAGGAAGAGGGAAGAGGAGGAGGAAGAAGAGGAAGAGGAGGAGGAGGAGGAGGAGGAGGAGGAGGAGGAGGAGGAGGAGAAAAAGAAAAGGAGGAAGAAGAGGAAGAAGAGGAGGAGGAGGAGGAAGAAGAGGAGGAAGAGGAGGAAGAGGAAGAAGAGGAGGAAGAAGGAGGAGGAAGAAGAGGTAGAAGAGGAGGAAAGACGAGGAGGAGGAGGAGAAAATGAAGTAGCAGTGATGGAGCAGCCACAACTTCTGGAGATAAGCCGTCCCACGGATTAATTCTTCTCACTGTCAGGAAATTTCTCCTTAGTTCTGGGTTGCTTCTTTCCTTGGTGAGTTTCCATCCATTTGTTTGAAATGGCGTGGGGTTTTCCTGCCTGAGCAGGGGGTTGGACTAGAAGACCTCCGAGGTCCCTCCCAGCTCCCTTGTTATTCTGTCGTTTCCTTACCGTGCACCGTTTCGTCCATGTCGGGGCTGGTGACCGAATCTTTCCCACCGAAGTCGGAGCTGCACTCCGACCGGAGATCCTCTATCTTGTTCGGGATGTCTTCGGACGTCGCGCTAATCCCTTTAAGAGGACGACAAGAGGCTTCTCGTGAGCATGAAGGGCAAACCTGGAGCCGACCCTGCCAGTTTAGTCAACAGATCTTCTGGAGACGTGACTCCAATTCCCAGAATTCCCCTGAACCAGCCTAGTCACAGCTGGGGATTGTAAAAATGAATGGACACCCTCTAGGTCCGTGGACTTCAACTCCCACAATTCCAAGTCATGCAGCCCAGGCGTAACGTGAGGCCTCGAAGTGCTTTCCTCAAAAGGCCGCTAACTGGAGTTCGTTTTTTTGCTTGAAGAGGTTTCGCTCCTCATCCGAGGAGCTTCTTCGCTTCTGAAGAACTAAACAAGAACCGAAGAAGCATCTTCTAAAAGTCCAGTTGCCTTTTGGAAAAAACCCTTTCGGACAACCGTGAATCAAGAGCAGGATCTCCATAGACCCTCGAAGGCAGGGACTTCGATTCCCAACGCCAGCCTGGGTGCCGCTAAGGATTCTGGGAATTGAAACCTCCCACAATTCTCTGTGGAAAGGAGAGAAGGCAAATCCAGCCTTCTCCCCTTACGGTTAAGATACCTGGTTCCAAAGACCCAGATATATTTCTGCTTTGCTGCTTCCTCTCAAACCGAAGCAATTTGACCCGTGCTAAGGCAACCTTCCACTTCCCTCACCTGAGACCACACTGAGGCCAGGTGTGCTGGGCCGGGAACTCACTTCCCTCACATCGGTATCGTCGGAGGCGCTTCCTACCCCCGAGCAGCTCTCCAATTCTTGCAGCCTTTCTTCCTGCTTCAGGTCTGGAGCCTCTAAAGAGGAGAGGGAAGAACTAGATTCCAACACCTGCATTCCTCACGGTGCCTTGTTCAATGACCGGCCAAAGTTACAACAGTGCTGGGGGGCGCGGAGAGAAAGGGACTCACAACAGTCCTCACGCTTACACACCGCGACAGCATCCCCGGTGAACAAAATCTGGATGGATGGCCTTTCCTTCTCTCTTTTGCATAGCCACTTTGACACACACACACACACACACACTTTAAGATGGCAATAGACGCCAAAAATAAAGAGAAGGGACTGTTTACGGGTTACGGAAGGTGGAGGAGGGAGAGCCGTCGGCTCCTCGGGGCCCCTTTCAATCCCATTTCTCCGCCACTTGGAACGCTAGGATTCTTCACCTGAGTCACTTGGCAGGACCTCCACGCTCCAAGCTTCGCTGGTGGTTTCTGAGATGGTGGAGCCTGTGCAGGGGTCGAACAGCACCGAGCTGGAACCAGGCAAACACAGCAAGTTGCCCAAGACGTTTTCGGCGGTGGCCCCTGGAGGGGACAGAAGTCGTCGTGAACATGTCGCAAGGAGACATGTACGTGTGTGTGTGTGTGTGTGTGTGTGTGTGTGTAGAGGGGGGTAGTAATAGGTTACTAGGTAGGTAGATATACAGGTGACACAGATATAGATAGAAAATAGATGACACAGAAGAATAGATTATGGATGGATGGATGGATGGATGGACAGATAGGCAGACACACTCGGTAGAGATATTGATAGATAGATGATAGATAGATAGATAGATAGATAGATAGATAGATAGATAGATAGATAGATAGATAACACAGAAGGATAGATTAATTATTGATAGATTGATGGATGGATGGATGGAAAGACACAGATTGCAGATGGATGGATGACACAAAATAGATTGATGATATATGATAGATAGATGATAGATAGATAGATAGATAGATAGATAGATAGATAGATAGATAGATAGATAGATAGATAATTGCTAGAGAGAAAATTCCCTGAGGATGGGCTCCAGCACGAATTTGAAAGCTGGGAAGAGAAAAGCTCCAATCCCGGTGATCGACTCAGATTGGATCCTGCCACATTATCCCAGGACAGGTAGATTCCGCCTTCATTTGCGACGCCCTCTCTATATATCCAAACTTCTCCCTTTCTCCTCCTGGCTCACCTGTGATCTCCTGCAAACGGTCTTCATCGATATTGGGGTCGAAGTCACTCCCCAGCACGTCCGTGCTCCAGGTCTCGCTCACGGTTTCCGAGATGTCCCGGTCTTCGGTCAAGCCCATCATGTCGCGGATTTCAAATTTGCGGAGCTTATCGTCCAGATTGTCCTGGGTAGTAGCTGTTTTAAAAAGCAAAATACTTTCTCTTGAAAACCAAGGACATTCTCACACCCGGTCAGGGAAAGGCGGAGGGATATCGGCAGGCAATCCGACAGCGCCGTGATTGGACTGTCTGACTGACTGGTTGGAGAAAGTGGCAAACTGTTTACTTTTAGTTAGGTGTAAAACCGTGGGAATCTTCAGTCGATTTTCACCAGAACTGTGCCAATCTGATATATTCAATAAAACTACTTGAGGAATCCACCTGCCTCGGAGTTTTGTTTGCTATGAGTGTATTACTTGGAACCCTGAGACAGCACAAATATATGCCGAGGAGCACAGAATGCCGTTGCTTTCCGACCAAAGTGGTGCCTATTTATCTACTCGCACCGGCATCCTTTCGAACTGTTCAGATGGGCAGGAGCTGAAGCAAGGGACGGCAGCTCACCCGCGCGGCACTCGGGACTCGAACCTGGGCCGTCTGCTGACAAGCTCAACCTCTTTAATCACTGAGACATTATGCCTCCCCCACCCCACCCCACCCGCCTCTTGGGAGACATTTCTGCTAGATAACTTTGCCGGATGCTTCTCACCTTGTTCACGCTCCAGAAGCTGCAAGGCCTCCACTCCGTTACTTCCCGATGGGCCAGCCCCCGATTCCGAAACAGATTCCCCCTCTAAATCCAGCGAGGACACCGAATTGGAGCGATTAGAAGGGCCTGTTTTGGATGGGGGGGGGAGAGAGAGAGAGAGGGCAGTACAAAACGCCAATTAAAAGTTGCACCAGCCCCCCCCACCCCAAAAGAGACACAATAAATGCCAACAGAAGGAAGCCAAGGCTGCACAACAACAACAACAACAACAACCCAAAAACTGTAAAGGAAAAAAGGCGAGAGGCGCAAATAAAAAAACTAACGGGGGCTTTGCGACAGCGGGCCAGAGACACAGCAACGCACGAAATGCTCCGTTTAAACGCGTTTTTCTGAGGGACAAGCAACAAAAGTGAGCCCTTCACCTTCGGATATGCCTTCCAGATTATCACTGCAGAGGGAAAACCTCAGGGTTTTATCAGGTTTACCGTGGAGTTTGGAATCGTCAACAGGAACTTCGCCTTGACCCCCATCAGCCAGCTGCATGTTTAAAACCTGGGCACAGAGAAGAGGAGTTCCGGCAGTTACCACCCCCCAATGAAATTACGAGTCTCGAGCCAAACTTCCAAAACTTCCAAAGGATTTATTGAGAGTTAACATGTCTGGCACTGCCTGGGTGTAGCTGACTCTGAGACACACCATTCATTATAACTCCTGACCCTGGTTTTCCCTCCAGCCCCCCCCTGGATGTATAATAGTTCATACTCTCCAATGGGACACATCCATAGCCAAAAATCCTCAATCACGTTCTCCAGTTAGAATTTTGCACAGCAGAAACTTCCAGTCGCCTAGTTACTATCTCTGAAAAACTATTTATGGAATGCGCTTTCGATTTCCAAGCTGCCACGCGGCTCTTTCAAACCCCTTTCCCCCACTTCCCTTTCTGTTGGCGATTCTAAAAAGACCATAGAAATATTTTATGAGTTGACCGTACCATTGGGGGCTGAGTTGCTTGGATATACGCATATTTCACATCGCTTACGTACCTCATTTTCTGACATCATTCCAGGCGTGATTTGTGGACCAGTCCCAAGAGAAATGACCAAAACTTCTTCCGGTTGGACTTCCTGTATGGTCTCTTGGGAGAATCCCTCGTAATCTGGATGTTGGTCCATCTGAATATTGGAACGGCTCCTACTGCGCGTGGCTGGAACAACCATAAATACATACATATTACAAGTGTCCTATTTTGGGGGGGGGGGGGCAGAGGGTTCAGGGAACATCTTACAGTTTAAGACAAGATGGCAGCCGAGGCCAATTCTTGTGATGTGCATGCAGTCGGACGTCGACCAATAACTGGGAAATTAATACGGGCTAGAGCTACACCGACGTTACACCGCATTGCAACTGCGCTGCGCTCCTTGTGAAGTGCTGTGAGACTTCAACGTTGCACAAAGCTTTGAAATTCAACGACAACGGCCGAAAATCAGGGCTAAAACGTTACTACACTTCGGCAGAAAATTCCCTCCTATAAGCTTGACAAGATTTAATGTATTGAAAGATCCGAGGATCTCGCTTTCTCAATAACACCCTTTTAAAGAACAGGTTGTCTGAATTCACATGCAGCACTAAGTTAGTTACTGTCACTGTAGATTTCGTGGGTTGACTTCAACTGTTTGAGATGTGTTGTCCTGCAAACCTTCGGTTTAGAAACTCGAGAAGCGAGTTCATCCAACTTTGGCCAAAGGCAAAACCAAGCAAGTCTCGCGATGTCTTAGAATCCAGATGATTTCTATTTAATTGTTTTAATAAGCCTCAGCGGAGAGGGAGTACTGTTGTGTGCATGCGGAGTCCGATTCAAGAACTCTGCCCTAAAAACAGCCAGTTTGCTCTAGAGGTTCAGGCACCGGGCTAGAAAGCAAGAGACCACGAGTTCAAGTCCTGCCTTCACCAGGAAAGCCAACTGGGTGATCTTGAGCCAGTCTCAGACCAACAACCATCCCGGGGTTCTTGTATGGGGGGAAATAGGCGGATGAAGGTGTGTGGCAGAGGTGCGTCGCCTCCTGGAGTGGTTTTGTAAAAATGATAATGGCAGGACGCTAAATAAATACACAAAGCTGCCTGGCCAAAAACGGTTCTTCACACGCGTTCAGCGAGGTAAGCCGGTGTGGAAAGATCAGCTTTGCGGACACCCTAATCAACAGGAAGGAGAGAGAGAGAGAGAGGAAAAAAGAGAGAGAGAGGAGAGAGAGATCCACTACCCACCAAAAGGGGTTACGAGATTTATATGAGCTGTGAGGTTCGTAGCAGAGCTATCCCAGGCAGCGATGGTAGCCAATTGTTGTCCTGGATTGGCCGCATTTGAAGAGAAACAAAAGAAAAATGGTTGAGAGGAGAGATATATATGTATGTGTGTGTGTGTGTGTGTATATATATATATATATCCCCAGACCAACTGTAAATTACAAATACACCAAGGAGCAGCAGGCAGCCAGGCATTGTCAAAAAGGAAAGCATCCCAAAGTGAAGCCAGCAAATCAGATTTTTAAACACAGCTGGTCCTCGACTTACGACAGTTCATTTAGTGACCAAAGTCGTAACAGCACTAAAGAAAGGGAACTTTTGGACCGTTTTGTCCCAGGCTTACGAATGTGGTCACGGGGTCAAAAGTCAGACACTTGGCAGCTGACTCGTATCTGTGACGGTTGTGACTAACTTCACAGCGGCAATGAAGAAAGGTCGTAAAATGGGGCGGAAATTCCCTCAGCGATGGTCTCGCTTAGCAACATAGAATTTAGGGCTCAACTGTGGGCCATAAGTCGAGGATCAGCTCTGTGTTTTGCCCACCCAACCGGCCAGTCTCGTGTTGTTGGGTTTTTTTTTTTTACCGATGGCCAATCGATTTTTTTTACTGGCTGGCGTCGTTGCAGGCGAGAGCTGCGGAGTGTTGTAAGGCGTCAACTCCTGGCTCCCACTTTTCCCCGGCTTGTTCTGGGGTAGATTTAAGAGCAGGTTTTCGAGAGCCACGCGGTCTTCCTTGAGCTGATCGCCGGACATGACGTTTCGCATAAAGCTAACCTGAAAATATAGACAGATAGATAGATAGTATCGGCCATCAACAGACACACAGAGATAAATGACATCTACACGCCGCTCAAAAGAGCCAACCCAAAAGCCTAAAAGGAAACAAAAGAGACCAAAGCAACCGAATGAACGTTGAAGATTAACACCAGACCAACAATCAACTAAACAACACCCCAATCAAGGAAGTTACCAATGCATTAATTAGCAGCCCAATCAAGGAAGACGAATCAAGACCACTCCTACCAACACTGACAGGGCAAGACGCTAGTGTATAAACAGGGAGCCAACCCCACTCCCTTCTAGAACTGATGATGTTACTTAGGTGGTGTGTTGTGCGTGGCACAAAGGCAACACAGTCAAATAAGCAAGGAGAGTCCCTTTAATACCTCCAACTTTGCCCCCCATGTCCAGGTTACCTTCGGCAGGAGAAAAAACTCTCCCAGGAACAGCCTTTAAGTGGAGGAAACTCAGTCCGAAAACAAAGTACATACGAACTGTAAATAAAAATCCACACAATCCATGCTGTGACAATTCACTGGACAGGGCAGGAGAAGGAATTGCAGCCTTGAAAGGCCAGCAAAACACACACAGTTGGGAAGACGCCAGGAACCCAGATAAGCCACTCTCTTCTAGCACTGATGGTGTTACCTAGTTTGACCATGAAACGTCTGCAAGGAAACCACCAACCAACCACCAAGGACCCCAGAAAAAGAAAAAGAAAGGAACCAGCTCATGACGGCTATCTCTTGGGTTCTAGGAAGACTTACCAGGGTAGTAAGTTGGCTGTAGGTCATATAAACCACCGTTCGACTCAGCCCTTCCAGGAGATTAACGGAAGACATCGGCGGGGTTTCTACCGCCCGGCCGCCAATGACCACATCCAGGAACGAAGCCACACAGCCCTATAAAGCCACAGCGTCAGTGAAAGCATACACTAAGGCAAACCATGATTTAGTGCAATACAGGTGGGGGTATTTTAGTGCAATGCGACCAGTTGAGCCAAAACTTTTCATTGCTAAGCGAGACATTTAACTGAGCTTTGTCCTGTTTTATGACTTTTTCTTGCCCCAACTGTTAAGTGACTAAATAAACTATTAAGTCGAAAACCACCTGTCGCTTGCTTCTTCCGCTGGGATGTTCCTTCTTAAAAATTTCCTTCCACGGCCCCACATTCTCAAATTTGCTTTGAAATGAAAGCCAGCCCTGCGTTCAGAGACTCTAAATGTGGTTCCTGCCACCTGTGGCTTAAGGAACTGCTGGCCACTTCAAACGCCACCGCTAAATGGCTTCTCAGGAGGGCAAAACTTCAAGACAGAAGGGGGAAGCTTCGAAGATCGCCTTGATTTTTGTTACCTTGTCAAACTTCCCCAGGTTGGACTTGATGCGGGGATCTCCGTCTTCGGAACCAATCATAGCTAGTTGCTGCAGAAGCCTCCCAACCTACAACAGAAACCCCCATTGAAAACGTATTTTGTTTCAATTGGCTCGTCCGTCATACCTGAAATAGAGGCTTTGGGTTTCATGAACGGTTGTATCTTAAATAGGGAGGGAAGGAGGAAGGAAGGAAGGAAGGAAGGAAGGAAGGAAGGAAGGAAGG